TAATCGTCTCTGTATAACAAAACAAACAAATCACGCATGAAATCAATAGGGATATAGTAAGATAATCAAATCATAGATACCTAGTTATGCTTTTGGTTTCATTCAATTTCATGTTCAGTTTGGCAGAATTATAAAAATCGAGCATACAATATATCTACATACTTTTCATCAGCAATACTAACTCAATTCATTACAATTCTTTCAAATAATAATTCATGTAACATGCTCCAATAATCTTACATGCATTTCTTAATCTAAAAATTCGAGGTTCTACTTACTTGGTTCAAAAGCATCTTTGATCATTGGTTTAATACAAGCTCCAAATTTCTCCAAACTCTTAAAGAAATTCTAAATTTATAGAAACGAAAAGAACCATAAAAAATTAGATTGAAAATTAAACAAAAATTCTGACACCTGAATAAAGATTGGCTACATGAATTAATCAAGATCATATACGAATGGTAAGGATCACGAAGATAGGATCATACAATTATCTTGATCCTTACCTCATGAAGCTAAATCAAATGAGTCAAGAAACCATGATAGGAAGGAAAGCATAAAATATAAATAAGGTAATAAGATAAGATTGGGCAGTGTGTGGTTTAGGGTTTGTCTTAAGCAGAGATGTGATGTGCAATTGGATGTCACAATGCCCCACACACACACCATTCAAACATCCTTCCCTCTTTTCATTTTCTTGCCATTCTTTACATTAACATACCACAAAAACATCCGCCCCTACAATCAGGTTTGACTTGTTTTATAGCGGTGGAAAACTCCCTTTTATAAATTCAAACTATTACACTCGAATAAAGGAGTTTGTATGAATGAATCAAGACTACATTTGAATGAGAGTGGTTTTAAGGATAGGATAACTAAGAAAGACTTGAAAGAAATGAGAGTTACTACCTATACCAATAAGGTGTACCTTTATTTTCGATTACTCAATCATAACTCCATGGTTAAACGTGTTTTCCTTAAAACAATTCTATGTTGAGTGACTTCTTTGAAGTTTTCCTAAGATGCATGTGAGTGAGAACAAAACATGTCGGAAGGACTTGTCAGTATGTGGGGATAGTCGCTCATAGAAGCGATGAGTAAGTAACGTCACCATATCGCATGGGGATGCAAAGGAATGTCAGAGTCATTAAATGTCGAATTTGGATTCAGAATCCAAATATGAATTACGGACTTGAGTTGTTACAAATGGTAAAACAATAACTTCACAGACAAACCAAGAATGAAATTGATGAAAAAATGTTAACTTGCATATTTTCGAAACATCATATTTCGAAATTTAAAACAAACGAAGATGTTTAAGAAATTCATGTCTATTTCCACCCTCTTTTCCCACAAACTAAGCGGCCCCTTAATCTTCAACATTTCATTTATCCATTCAAACGGGCTAACACAACATCCAATTCTTTTATCAAAGAATAAGCATGTGATGCTTTTTGTTTGAACTTTTGAATAACTATTATGACACCACCAATACCATTCCCCTAATTGACATCCACGCTCAAACAGTATGAATATATATATATATATATATACACAACAAATGCCCATTTTGATTGCTTGTAAATGGAAGAGAGGCAGGGAGAAAGGCTTAGTTTTTATGGAAGTTATGGGTTTTTGTTCAATGGCGTGGGGATAAGCTAGCAGTGGCAGGAACATGATGAAAAAGAAAGCCATAAAAACTCCACTTTTCGGGTTTAAGAACAAAGAATAAGCAAAAGATTTTACTAAATGAAGCTATCTTGCTTGTTCTATTTTTGTGGGTTTATGGAAATGGGTCATATTCGTTCGGTCAGTGAAGTGGTTTCTCCCGGAGGAACCCAAAAACTCTCCATTTTGAGAAACTTTACAAAAGAAATCTGTGTGTGTGGGTCAGGTGTAGAGGATATCAGAAGGGTGGAGCTGTGCGCACCACATAGACATTGAGGGGCACTGTCGGCTGGTCATACCCATAAGATGAACGGCTGCGCATATATAAAAAAGCACCAAATAAGTAACAACCAAAGCTAACCCGAATAGGAAGAATTGACGACTAGTCATATCCTACGGTAAATATAATTTTGGTGAATGATTGTACACCCCCGTATTGACACGACATAAACAGTAAAGACCTAACTATACATAAAAGCAAGGGGTTTGAAACGAGCATGTGGCCATAGACAACATGTCCTGGATAAGCATGACTAAAACATCCAACACGCGGTCTCCAGCAACATGTCTTGGACCAGCGCTATGTTGGGCCTGTTTGACCAAATGGAACAGGCCGAAACTTGGAGATTGACCCCACACATAAAGCCCGTCAAAAACGCCTAAGGACCCAACATGAGATGTAAGGTCTAGAGACCAGACCCAAAGCCCATTTAAGAAAACACACAAATAGAGGATGTTTGTCCATCATCACCATCTTCTCACCAATGATGTCAACAACTGCACCACATTTATACAGACAATTTGTCTGTTAGAATCAACCAAAAGTAAACGCCATGGATGAGAACAGTGTAGAAAATGAAAATGAAAACCAGTTTGCGAGGAAGCATTCCTGGAAAGGAATCGCATAAATAAGTATTGTGCACCTCAAATAGCTCAAATGGGTTGCCACGACGATATACATCGTTCTTCTTCCCGTTATTGACTGGAAGAACTTTATATCGTATTGCTCTCCATCCAACGAGCAAGACAGCCGTGCTTCCCATCGTTACCCCTATGAAATTATATGGCGGAATATGGCCAGACGTTGCAGCTCGTATTATTAGACCTAGCTGCAAAAGGCAAAGAAAAGTGATCTTTTTGTATAGATGATAAAGATTCAAGAACAATCTATAACGTCATAGACTTCAGAATCCATGAAATGATCAAGATACAATCATCTCGATACTATTATCTATAATGTTATTGAGAATAAATCCATCTCCACACTGGATGCCCAGTGTCACAGCTGCACTTTTCTTGACAACAGGATTTGGCGATTGTGTGGACTCATTCTCAACCGTGAGAGAGTCAAACCAACTTAGAATTGTGTTGCCTACGGCCGGACAACGTATGCTCAAACTCTGGCCCCATTTTGAAAAGAAAGTTTTAGAAAACGGGGCAAAGAGATTTTGATAAGTTGAAAACAATGTTATGACTAGGGCAAAGGCAACATAATAGCTTAAATAGCATATAAATTTTTGGGCAAGGAGAATTTGATACTCGTCGCATCCACTATAGTACATTTTGAGGCGATTCAAGTATGGCAGGCGTAGAATGATCATATAAAATCTAGATCGGAGGAGTTCACAACTGGTCGTATCCTCTTATAGTACATTCTAAAGCATTTCATGTCTACCCGGCGTAGACATGATTCTGCCAAAATGTCAATACGCTTATAAAAGACAAGAAGAAAATTATATATCATGAAGTAGTAAAGGAAAGCAATAAAGTGATACAAGTCAAGGGTTTTTGACATATGATGAGCATGCAGCCATGAGCAACACGCCTTAGACAAGCATTACCGCTACAAGTAGGATCAAATGATATCATAACTAATAAAACAAGAATTCTTTTGTGATCGCAGTCTTAGTTCAACGGAGGAAACCATTACTTTTCAGGATCAAATGATATCAAAACTAAGAAGCACTGAAGGACAAACATAAGAAGGCCCTAAACTTACAGGAATTCCCAAAGCCCATGATTTAGAAGCTGCAAAAACAGCCTTGGAATAACCATTTAAACCACGCCCATCCTCTCCATAACCTCCGAGAAAGTAAGCACTCAGAAACCAACCTATAACAATCCACTTTCAATGATTCATCCTGCAAAAAAGAAACACCAACAAACATTCAACTGCAAATTATGGCGCAGAAAAAAACATACCAGCAATAAAAGGATCCGCCGTGCGCAAAGTCTCGAAATCAAAAACAGGGAAACCATGGCTAAATCTTCCTATTGAGGAGAACAAAAGCAAAGCCAATACATCTCCACCAGCAAGCAGAGCCACATGGCTGGAGAATCACAGAACCACAGAACAATATACTAAATTCACAGCTAAAACAAGAAAAAATCATAAAAACGCCCAAATTACCTCCATTTTCTCCATCGAGAAGACCTATCGGGCTTATCAAACTGAATGACGCCTTCCAACGGAACACTCTCATCGCCGACGAAAACCGTCTGGTCAGAGGGAGAAGAAGGCAGACTTGGAGAGTTGGAAAGAGCCTGTTTCGTCGAATCGACGGCTCCTTCCGCTTTCGAGAGGGCTATGATAAGCGGCTTCGCAGCATTCCTTCTGGGAATAAATTTAGAGCGTCGAAAAGGATTAGGGTTAGAGAATTTGAGAGAGGGAAGAGTGGTAAGGGAAAACTTGGTCGCCGGTTCTACTCCGGCCGGAGCCTGGCTGAAAGGCAGCATTATCCTATGGATCACGAAAATTGAGGGGTTTTTCTATTTTATGTTATTTTATTTTATTTTATTCAAACAATGAATTATTTTCTTAAATGGGCTTTTTGTATTTTACAATAAAATAAAATTCAGCTATAATAGAGGATGGAAATAATCCTCAATTTATATTAAAAAAAACTTCTTATAATATTTAATTCTGAAAAATATGCTCCTCAAATATATTTGTTATTTTGATATGTATAATTTAAAAAAAAATAAAAAAATAAAAAAAATCATATGAAAATAAAAATCGACTCTTCGTGAAATTGAGATAACCACAAAGGATGTTGTGGATGAACTTCATCGGTTCATATTATCCCTCCAACATGGTCAGGTTACTTTCCACCCCTACTTTAAGCAAAGCACCCTTTACCTTAGAGTTCTTATGTTTAAGCCACTAGAAAAAAAGTACATCTTATTGATATAGATAGTGACTTTCAATTTTGTGAAGTCTTTTTTAATCAATTCTGACTTCAGGATTGCTCTCGTGATCTCGATTTATTTATATACTCATCAGGAATCACTACAAGAGAAGTAAGTTTTGGTTTACCTTAAGATACGAGTCATTTCACAACCAAAATCAATCATGTCAAGCTTAAATCATTCGTTACAACATAGGCCTCAGACCTCATGAGTGGGAGAAATAAAAGACACCAAATTTCACATACACGAAATGAACTCTTCTGACAAACTATTTATGGAAGGTCAGCACATACAAACATATAATTCAAATTCTTCTTCGACCTGTTTCTTAACCACTAGGCAAAGATGATGAAGAATTCACAAAAGTTGACCCCAAACGATCGCTGCATTGGCTGCCTCCTCCTCCTTCGTGAGTCTTGTTGTTGTTATCTGTTCTTGGGCTACTCCCTGTGCTGCTGTTCGAGAAAGACCCGAACGCAGTCTTCTGCAGAACCCCGGTGGGCGATGACCCAAGCGACGAACTGTTGTCCCACCCTTCAGTCATCAGGTTTAGTATCGATGAGTTCTTCAATTCCCCGCTGTTGTTGTTCGTGCTATGAAGAACCTCTCCAAGCGGACCACCCATTGAGCTCTCCCACGAGATGGGAATCCAATTTGCCTGCTTGTTTGCCTCATCCATTACATTCCCCACTCCCAATCCCATTTGAATTGGGTCGAACTCCTGCGAAGATCTCAACGGCGAGAGAGTGACTTTTTCGTGAACGGGAGACGACGTCGAGGATCTGAAATCCGATGTAGCCATTGGGATTGATATGGATAGCTGAGTCCTATCGGATTGGAGATCGGGATTCCAGTTCGACCACGACACCGATGAGCTATCGGATTGGTTCTTGGGCCAATTGAGTGAGTGTTGGGTTTCAGCTGCTGGTTGAGAAGTAGTGAGGCCCTCTGAAGGATTGAAAGCTCTGTAAGTCATCAAAGATGAAGTCTTTTGTGAAGGGTTGAGGAGGAAATTGGAAGAGACAGACGTAAACTCTGCTCTTGGAGATTCTTCAAAAGGGTTCGGTTTCTGAATGGCGAATGGAAGCTGTTTGAATTGTTTCATGTTCATGGAAGATGAATCATGCAACCCAACGCCGGCATTCTCTTTGTTCGTTATGAACATTCTGCAACACAAGAATTGAACAGACATAAAATTTTGAATCCATGGAAATAAAAGATTCAGGGCTTGATTTGTTTGGTTATTGGGGATGATGAACAGAACAGGGCGATGAAGTTTACTACCTGTTGATTTGAGGGGCGGTGGCGGAGGAGGGAGGCGGGTGAGATCCACCGCGGTTCAGGTTCTTGAAGTGATGAGTACCAGCACAAGAGATGGTGTTGGGGGAGGCGTTGCTGGGTACCGCCGTCATGGAAGGTGGAGAAGAAATCAGTTTAGACGCGGTGGTGGTGGTGGCAGCAGCGGTAATATTGGAGGCTCCGGCAACGGAGTGGGAGTGGCCGGCTTGGCCTTCCACAGGCTTTCTTGAACGATGGCGGCCTCTGTTCATATGCCGTTCACAGTACTTCTGGTCAGCAACTGCGTCTCTTGAGCACCGCCATTTCTTCCCGTCGGTCCGACGGCACCTTCCCGGTTCAGGATCACTGTTATTTGAAAACCCCACATTGAAAGCTCCCCACCCCACTACAAAAATAAAAAAATAAAAAAAACCCGAACATAAGCCATTTTCTTAAGCCCTGTTTCCACGAGATCTACAGAAAAAAAACAGGGGAAACTCACCGGCAGTGGGTCGGAGAAATCCGCCGGCAAATGTCGGAATGCCAGCAGATTCAAGCGCTTTTCTGATGGGAATGAGCAAATTAGAAGGAACATGGACATTAGCAGTAATGTATTTGTAGATCAAAGCCTGGTGTTCCAGCTCCATCCATTGAGATGGAGTGAACGGAGTTCTAACACCTATAAAACCACCGCCGTGCATGCTTCCACCGTTCAAACCTCCATAACTACCGCCTGTAGAACACAAAATCAAAAACAAAAAACACCCAAATGCTTCAAAAACCAAACGAGGCAGAAATCAGAGCACAACAGTTGCACAAATCTACTTGGGGCAGTCGGAATGAAAAGAGCGACAAAACAGAGTAAAGGAAGAACCGAATGCGAGCATTGAAAGCAGGACGTACCTGCATTTCTTGGGGCGGAGGATCGGACGAAATTAGGGGAAGCAGCTGAGAGAGAAGCTGTCTTATCAAGTGGAGGAGGCTCTGCTTTAGGCGATGAAAAACAGAGCATTTGGTGATGATTTTGGTTAGAATCAGAGACAAAGAAAGGGGAATTAGATCTGAGCAAAGAAGAAGCAGACGTTTTAGGGAGCTTAGAGGCTCTCAAATCCTCCATTTCAGCTACACCGCCACCGCCAGATCGCTCCTGTTTGTGCAAAAACCCAGAAACAGAGGCAGAATCGTACCATTTCTGCTTCATTTCAGGATCTGAAGAGAAACCAGAGATGTCCGATGAACCCACCACCAACCCATCAAAACCCACCGCTCCAAAATCCATACAAACACAACAAAAACAACAAAACCCACAAAACCCACAAAGATTTTTCTAAAGAAAAACAAGAACAGCTAAACCTCTGAGCAGAGGAAACGGGACATTGATTACGTTCTTGGCCCAAAAAAGAGAGCGACCGTGTGAGGTTGAAGGAGGCACATTTGAAGATAGTTTAAGGCTTTTATTTGATGTTTATCTTTTTATTTTTAAGAGCTTCAGATTTTCATTTTAATCTTTTTGAGAAAATAAACAAAAATAATTGGAGAGAGAGAGTAGGACAAACATGATGAGCAAGACTTCCTTCGTTTCTCAAACTGCAATAAAGTCAGCCAAACAAAATGATAAAAAGCGTTATTTTCTGGGCCTAACAAAATATTAGTTTTGATTTTCCTTTTTTTTTTCTTTTTTTTTTTTTTTTGGCCAACAAAAGAATAAAATTAATTATTTGAATTAAATTGACTTTTTAGGTAAAAATCTATAATACCCCATGAGGACACTCTTATTATTATTGGGAATATTGGGTTCAATGAGAAAAATAAGAGGGGTAGGACGGTAATTTTGACAACAACAGAACAAAATCTGTCATTATCCAGACTTTAAAAAATAAATAAATGAATTTTAATTTTAAAAAAAAAATTGAAATTGGGGTTAGGACGGTGGTGTGGTGGGCTGCATCAAACCACCACGTGATCCCTCATCCCCGGTCCAGACCGTTGTAGATATTCCAATTTTACCCTCGGATAAAAATCTAATTTCTATTAATTTATAAATAAAAAATACAGCAAAGTAATTACTCCCTGTCGTTATTACTCTCTCTCCCCTCGTTTTTTAAAACCTTCTTTTTAAATCGAAGCAAGAGCCTCGAGCATTAGTCGCTTGGCTGTAGCGACATAAGAACGAACTGGCTTAACTCACTTATCATTAGAAAGTAAGTGTCGCACAATCGTAAAGTCCGCTGCCATCCATAGTACGATTAACCTCACACGTGTTATTATATTATGGTTTGGTTGCATGTGGGAGAATATTTGGGTGTGGTGTGGCACTTGAAGTATCTTCAAGATTGGGATTGCTTTGGTTTGGTCGGTTTGGGGAGTTCCCACTTTTGTTACCTAAAAGACCATTCCATATTTTATATTCCAATCACATGCTGCTTTCATTCTTTTTCTCAACTTTCTATCGTACACTAACTTCTCATCGGTCATATGAGATTTCGCTCCATTTTTCATTCTTATCTTTAAAACCCGTTTTTATTTAGGTTTAATTGAACTTTTAAACACTATTGTTTGAGATTTCAATCAAAATTTGTGTTCGATTGTCGATGATCTTAATTGACTATAAGGACTCTTAGGAGTTTTGTAATGAACTATTAAAAAAACTGAGTCAGGAGTAGTGGTTTTAAGATTATGAGTTGGTAAAACTAGGGTTAAACCCTGAAATGCGTGAACTTTACGATAATTTTATGCAAGTTTTGTGGGTGTAGTTAGGTCGTCTTCGACTGCTCTTCAATCATGATCTTGTTCGGATGAGAGTAAGGGATAACACAGTAAATGAGTGTTGGCAAGCGTATGGGTTCTCCTCCCTCCTTTATTATATTTACGTTATGGGAGTCGGGGAGATGTCAACTAAACTCAACTAAAGAATCTGAGAATTTTGGGTTGGAACTAACGGCGAAATCATGCCTTGAGTACCTATGTTATATAGGTTGATGGTGACGACGATGACACAAGAGACTAGTTGGTAGTTAATTAAGATTCTTTAGAACATGGATACTGGTCTTATGAGGAAGCGAGCTCAAAAGTGACAAACTCTGTAACTAAGGAAACCAGCGTTACCTTAAATTGAGCTTAGGAAGAATCAAGTTAATGTTGGAGATAGCCTAGGAAAGTCTGTATCTTAAGAACGAGATTTCTAAGTATGAATAATACATCAAATGAACGAAATAATGAGATAAGATTTAAGCATGAAATAAGAAACTACAATCAAGCTATTTAATGTGTATTTTTATACTCATTTATACTATTTTAATCTTTTCATACGAGGGCTAGATGGAGGGATCGAAACAAGAGTACACAAGCTGCAGGACTGTTAGAGGTCTACATTAAACTCGACTACCCGAATAGACTCAACTAAATTATAGACGTTTGGGTTGGATTAGATAGCAATTTAAGTTAAATTGGATTAATTTTCTAAAACTGAATCGATTTGATTCGAGTTTTGAGTTATTAAGATAATTATATAAAAGAGTGAATTCATAACTTATAATAAATTTATTGATTAGGATTTATGCTTAGCTTTTGAAGCATATTATTGTCATTTTACGCATTTTTAAATGCATTTCTTGAAATTGAAAATGAACGAAACTCTTCTTATTTTCAGTCAATTTATATTTTTTTTTTAAATTTCATGAAAGTGATGCATAAATAAGTTTTTTTTTTTTAAGTAATTAAAATATTTTTATAATAATTTTTATTTATGTTTGTATAATTTATTTAAATAGTTATGATTTATCCTATATTTTCCTTCTTTTATGGTAATTAATTATTTCAGTGATAGTGATAATTTAGTTGTATTTTGTATTATAAAAATGTTGAATTATGCTAAGATATTATAATTTTGTGATCCCGTTGATGAAAATTTTGTTTGTTTGAATGATTATAGATTGATTTGTGTTTGTTTGTAAACTTTTAATATCTTTTATACAAAGTTTTTGTATGAAATAATTATGAAGGGTGGATAAACAAAAGTTTTTTTAAAATATATTTTTTAATAGCCCTTTGTCTATCTAACCAATTCGAACATTTGCGTTGGTCCAAGAAAATTTCTTAACCCAATCCAACACGACCCATGTACACTTCTAAAGACTACAAGAGTCGAGATAGATCCGTGTCTTGACATTTTTTCATTTTGTCTTCATCATTACACAAAAATGGTTTAAGATGTCAACCAATAAATAATTCTGTTTACCTAGGCTCGAAAGAATTTCAGTAACTAATATATTTTAATATCTAATATATCTAAATATATATTTGACTAATTTGAATTTCGTTTAAATTTGGTATACATTAATTATTTTAATATTTAATACATCAAATATAATAAATATCTTTTTCATATTAAATATTAATTTGAATATTTCAAAATTTTATACTTAATTAATTAATTTTTATTCATAATTGTCACTCTATTATAGATCTACGATTGAAATCTTATACATTATAGAACATGTTATGTTTATTGATGTAATCATTACAAACAAGTCTATTATTTATGAGCCGTTACTTATTATAGAAAATGAGTGAATTCTATTTCACAAAATTATACTTCTAGCTCTCTATCTCTGGAGTCCTCGAAATAGTAGACATATTAAATCAATTACAAAAATCATTCTCATCCATGTAAATTAAAAACAATCGGTCGTATACATGGATTTATAACTAGAGATATTTCATGGTTCAGTCTTATAGGACCCGAGCCTTTTTTATTAATTGCCATCACCCATTGCATGCTTCCGTTTCTCTCTACTTTCGTTATTCAATTACTATCTACCCTACTACTACGGCTACTTCTTTTTTCCCTTTTTTAATTATTATTATTATTATTTATTAATAATATATAATAATAATAATAATAAATAGAGGAGGAGACAATAAAAAGGCATAGGAAAGTGTGGAAATGGGAATGGAGGGGGGAAAGCGATTGAGCAGAGGATGGCATTTGCTACGCCGCCTCCGCTCTAAATTCACTCCCTACCTTTTTGGCGCGCGTATCACCTACGCTCCTCACTCAAACTCACCCTGCTTGTCCCTTCCCTTTGGTCGCGCGTATCACCTACGCTCCTCACTCAAATTCACCCTGTGTGCAAGCTGTTGCTTAGCTGGCTCGACAAGATATTTTAAAAAAAATAAAGAATAATAACCCAAGTACGAGTTGAGAAGATGGTGCCACGTGGGGGGACACGTGTACAGTGGGCTAAAATTACCAAAACGACGATGGGTATAGAGGAGGCTAGCTTCCCATTTACCGACAGCCATGAGGATGGGCCCCATCCTGGATTCTTGTCCGGATTTGCGTCACCCTCTCGTAATGGGCCCAGGCCCAGTCCCTCCCCGCCCTAATATCAGGATATTTATTTATTTACATATATATATATATTTTTTATATATATAATAAAGAGAAGCACGTGAAATTTAGTTGCCCTTTAACGTATCTCCCTTTACATTATTTATTTATTTATTTATTTATTATAATATGTTTGCTTTTTGAATTTAAAATGAATAAGATGTGGGCGTTTTGTTGACAACACACTTTTATCACTTTATAATTCAAATATTTTATTATTATAAACCTAACCCTTTTGAAAAAAAAATATAACTTATTCATTAGGAATCATCACCCTTCTAGTACGATATTGTTCACTTTGAGCATACGCTCTCGTAACTTTGCTGTGAATTTCTACAAAATGACTCATACCAATGAAGATAGTATTGCTTGCTTAAACCCATGATCTTCGACTAAATCAACGAATATGGGACTCACTCCCAATAATTTTAACACACTGTACCCACAAGAAATAATGCTATTGTTTCAGTAAGTAGCTATGTATTAGATTTTTCTCTATTTTTTTTGGAATTATTTAAATACCGTGAACAATTTACCTATTCTAAGAATTTAATGTGAGGAGAAACATAAGTAAAATCTGAATATTTTTAAATTGTTTTAAATCTTTTTATATGAAAATAATATTATAACAAACATATATAAACATTATAAAATTTTATTCGTGCAAAATATCTAATGTCTGCATTCATGTAATACATGAATCTATTTTTGCATAAATTTGAACATTAATGTTATGGGTTTACATAGGTTGACTTGGATTTCAAATGACGAAATCAAAATTTCATTAAAAATAAATTGGTGATAATAGTTTAAAGTAATCAAGTAAGTGGCTTTTACTATACGCTCGGCCAAAAAGATTTATCTTATTAAAGACGATGTGTGGTCATGGGTGGTCGGGGTGTCCCTCCGCACAAACCGAGGGGGTGTAGCAACAATCAACCCTCGAAGACTATATTTTTTAAAAATATGTCTTCCAATTTTGGCGTAAAGATTTAATAATTTCGAAGGGGTAAATATGTAATTAAACGAAAATAAAATTTGAACATTTCCTTTCTATTTCTGTCTCCC